CCGATAGTCACTCAACACGCGCTCACTTGACTCAGCCAACTCGCTAGGTAGGATCCCGCGTGCGCGGGAGAGCCATAAAGGCCACACACCAGGATTTACGTAGCGAGGGGATTGGAAGGAGCCGGCGCCCCCTGACTCCCAGTCTCACTCATCAACCACTTTACACATTGGGCTGGTGTGTCTGGTACTGCGTCCGTTGGCAGTGCTAAAAAAGAAAACAAGCTGAAGGTGAACATTGTAGAAGAGCTTGTGCAAGCGAAGAAGAAAGAGAGAGCGCGAGATAGAGTATATACTGCTCTTATGGTGTACACCAGACTGGTAGCGCAGCTACTAGCTAAGACCTTGCATACCTTCCGTCACTGCATGGTATAGCAGCGAGGGGATTCAGTTCATGAATGCCCCCCCTCCAACCCCCCCCTCCAGCATTCCCTGTCTGCTTTCTGGTAGATAGTCCATTTTTGCAATACTTACCATTTTGCCTAGGGGATCAACTACCAATTCGTGCCTTAATCTGACAATCAGGGGACTACAAATGATGGCAAGGCTTCTTAATTGGTCCACACAAAAGGCGAGAGCTGTGTGTGTGCACAGATGAAGCTATTTGCGGGCTGCATGAGTGTATAACTCGTTGACCTAACATTAGGAATTAAAAAATTTCCACTGGCTTGTCACAGACACCAGATGAAGGGCGCGTTTTGACAAAGACCTTTCCATTCTTTAATGACAGGCTGTTAGGATAAAACAATCAACTTTCTGTGTCCATGCCTCCCCGAACTCTTCATGTAATGACACCAGATGTATGTATGTATGGTAGATTTGCAACGGTTCTAACAAAGGAATCCAATAAATCATTCCTGAAGACAGTGGAGAACCATTAATAATTTGCGAACCTATTTTTGACACACTGGGATACCTGTAAGCATAATGACGGGTTTAGGCAGATAGTACTGTCGGCAAAGACAAGGCAGACTCGAATGGCCATTTCTGGCTTATAAGCCCTCGTCAGCCAGTCCTATCCAAACCCAAGTCGCAAGTTTGAGGCTCCTGTGGGACGCCAGTTGGGTCTGAGTATGACTGGCTGACGATGGCTTAAAAGCCAGAAATGGCCATTCCAGTGTCCTTTGTCTTTGCCTACAATAATATCTGCCTATACTACCAGCTATACGGCTGTCAGGGTCCGAAAAATGAAGCCTAAGGCAGAGCGGGACAGATGAGTTCCCTTAGCGGTCAGGTGAACGTTAAGCAATAAGGACGGGTCTGTTACTTTTACTGTGTACATTTCACATTCAGCCCCGACACGATCAGAGAAAGTTTATAGTAGACCCAATTCGCAATCAAACTTCTATAGTTCTATAGCTTACTAACACGTGTTCTCACGCTCTTTTACCCGCTATCAGATGGTCGTCTAATAACCGCATTGTATTTCCTGGATAGATATACGGATAGATTACCATACAGGTAAAAACACATTAGATTGCAATTTGTTTTACAGTTGCGATAGTGTCCATCGAAGGAGTTAGCAGACCAGTCGGCGAGCGTACGTATACTTTCGACGAAGTCTTGTCGAGCCAGTAATTTATATGGGGACGGATTGAAAATATTAATAGTGGGTTAGACGATAGTGAGGGTTGGGCGGAACCGTTCCAAGGGGGAGGGGTGCATACAGTTAAACAACCGCTGCCGAGCTTGTGGGAGGTTCTTTTGTGCGCACAAGACCGGCTTCCTTAACCTGATGGCGGTCGCTTCTGGCGTTGCCGGCAGACGCTGACACTGGGATTGGGGGTAGTTTGGTGGGACCCTATAAATCACAGAGTAATATTCTTTGGGGTTCACACGATGCACGGAATCAACAGTGTTTGTGCGTGCGTGCGAGAATAGCGCTGTTTACGCTCTCACCTTCCATTTGTTTTCAACCATGCCGGCGGGGAGTGTCCCCTTATTCCTCTGGATAGGTGCCGACTCGTGCGAATACGATAACCTTCTCCACATGAACAAGTACCTGCATGAAGGTAAATGGATGTGGTATGAGCTAACAACAACAGTTTGCCTTTTCTGTGTACAACAGCGTTAGCCGAGAATAGAATCCAAACTGTTGCTGTCGGGAAGATTCGTGAACCCGCTGGGTAATGGCGTTTCCTGAGGAGACCCCGCGAAAGGGGACTTTTAAGAACAGAGCTTTCCTCTCACAGAAGGTTTAGTGGGCTTTACCGGTACCGCGACAAAATACTTTTTGCAATAAATCTATCTCCTGAAGCAGATCATGAACCTCTCTTTCCTCCTCCTGTTCCTCCTCCTCGATATTATCTGCCGAACAAATTGTTTTAATCCTTTTTCGCCAAACAATGAACTAGCTTGCGTTTCTGTTGGAGGGATAGGAAGCCGCCAACGTTTCTCGGCGGGCAGTGGGCGGGGAAAGCATTCATTCAAAACCTCTGATTTTTCGTATTTCGCTGCTAACGGCCAACTTGGTAGAAGTTTAAATTAAAATTTACGTTAACTGAATTGGAAAAACTTTCTTAATGTCGCAACAAGGGTGTGTGAGCCAAGGAAAAAGTGGTTGCATGGCAAAAACAGGTGCCTCTGCACCAGTTGATTAACATACCCGTAAACTGCGTTTGGCAGAACTGAAAACCATGCACAACAGCGAATTATACTTCAAAATTTGAGTGAATCTAACACCTGCAGCGTATAATCACATGATCCTTACATCAAAATGTTTACGCAAAAGAAGTGCAGGACAAAACCGTCTGTAGTTTTTTGAGTAAAGGAACCTTTCGGGATTTTAATTCTCATAGAGTATGAAAGCTGACTGACGTAACTTAGAAAACTTAAAGTTGGGGTGATTTTTACCGATATAAGTCAGTTAGGCAGTTTCTGACTGTGCCTTTTTGTGTCAGAGCACAGTGAATTGTTGAAACGGGCTTTTATTAGTTTGTTCAGCTGGTGCATTGGCGGTCCCAATGTAAAATACGCGTATTTGCCTAGCTACAAAAAGCGCTCCATGTATTGTGTTTAATTTCTTTCATAAGCTCCATAATAATTACAGATTATTATAGATTCATTTTATCTCTGCTGTTACTGCGCGCGCCTCGTTCACGTAATGGCATAGCGGATCAGTTGTCACAAGCCTTTCTTCTGAGCAGATTTTATTGGCTAACTGTCGGATTTTAACCCTACTTGGTAAGCTAAGTTGCTTCGTTTTTCCACTATGTCATAACTAAAGTCCTGATATGAAGCGCTCACAAAAAGCGACTAAAAATGCTTTTCATTTGGTATATGCGAATTCTCCAGAAAGCTGTTCAAGACTGTTCGATTAAAATATTTCTAAAGGCGCTGTCGGACTATAAAGAAAGAACTTTAGCTCGATGGAACTTGGTTTATTCTGTAAGTGGTCATGTGTATAAAAGAATATTAGGTTCAAGCGACTCAATGTAGATGGAAAATCAATATTTTATGCGCTTGTATGCATCGAGTTCATCTTTTTGCAAAAACAGCAGGAAGTGTATGCAAGAGCCTTGGAAGTGTAAGCAGTAGGAATGCAAATCACTACGTTCATCTATAATTCTTGGTTTTTCGAGTAAACTTACATAGCATATTTGTTAGGAAACTATCGTTTGATTGCTCCTCGGTATGGCAATAGAAACTTGTTCGTTTATTCCAGTCAGCTACATTTCAGTAAAGCCAACTGCCTACGTAGGGTGCGTATCTATCATATTAAGTGGTCTGCATAGGGTTTTTATGGTTATCCGGCTTGGTAGTGAATTTAAGATTGATTGACTACGTGAGGAAACTAAATTCAAATGCCCCTACAGCTAAACTCCAATAGCAACAGTCCTTAGCCTAAAGGTCCCAGCTGTGTCAAATTTAGGTATTTTAAAGAACACCTGAATTTCTTTATTATACGTTTTTCTGTTGCAGTACCACTATTAGCATTCTGTTTATTTCAAGAACATGCGGGAGGCAGCGTTCAGGTAAATCACTAACTTAACTGAACACTGTTTTCACATCTTGATCGCTCTCCGTGTTGGTGGTCGAAGGCACAAACTGTCTGGGAAGCTTTATACAAAAATATCCCATTACAGATCCGCAGGCTTTTAATAATTTCATATCGATGGCTCGATCAACGCAACACAGTCTACTTCTGAACGCTCGTCAACAGAAGTCTTGCTGTCGTGTACATATGAATTTCCGCGAGCTGCATGGCAGGTGGACATCGTTCCTATCCGCGTATGTTTGCTTGT